CTCTCTCTCTATCTCTCTGTCTCTCTGTCTCTGTCTCTGTCTCTCTCTCTCTGTCTCTCTGTCTCTCTCTCTATCTCTCTGTCTCTCTGTCTCTGTCTCTGTCTCTGTCTCTCTCTCTCTCTGTCTCTCTCTCTGTCTCTCTCTCTCTCTCTCTCTCTCTCTCTTTGCTTTATGGTTATCTCAACAGGTGAAGTTCTCAGCTACTGCTGCAGTGCCCTGCCTGCATGCCTGCCTGCCTGCCTACTGCCATGCTCCCCACCACAATGGTCATGGGCTTATCCTCCAAAATTTTAAGCAAGCCTCCAATTACTGGGAAACCAGCATAGGACTGTCCCAGACCCCTGAACATGGATGTCATTTTGGAGGTCTGGTTAATCTCCAGGGCCTCTAGTAGTGGATCAGTATTTATCCCTAGTAAATGCATGGACTTTGGGAGCCCATTTGGTGACTGCAGGGGAGGAGAGGAGGGAGAGGGAACTGGGATTGACATGTATAACAAGCTTGTTTCTAATTTAAATAAAAAAGAAAAGAAAAAATTCATTTATAAGTTGCTTTACATTTCTGACAGATTTTCTCATGGCAATGACAAGAAGATCTTTAAATAGGCAATATGATGAGATGGAATGGGCACACTCTGAGCTTGTCAAATTGGATTGGCAACATGGTTAACTCCAGTTCTCTAGCCTTTGACATCACCTATGAGGCATGGATACACACAGCTAGGATTTTGTGACTACATTTCCAGAGTACTGAAAGGGAGCCTCTCTGTATTAATGGTTCTCTTAGCTATTTTCTTTCAAGTAGATAGCATGGTTACTAAAAAGCTCCTATAACTCTATTTGATATGCCATAAACCACATACGGTTACTGGAATCTATGTTGTCTGCCAACTGGAATGTTTGATCCTAGAGCATTTTAAAGCTTCTTACCAAATGAATGCAGGACACACCTTTAGCATCCAGAGGAAGTGAAGTGCAGAGTCATAAACACACCATTCCCTGTTTAGCAGGTATGTTTCCCCATTAGACTAAAACATTTCAGTTCATTTTGCTTGCTTTAAATGATATTAACTAGATTACATTTGCAACCAAAAATGCATTTTTTTTTGTTCTTTTGCTCTGGGGTGTGGAATACAACACCATTACGGTCCTAACCTATATAAGAAAGAAATGGTATAGCTGTGACAATTGTCTTAGGTGTACAGTTCAGAAGCTTCTCACCTGAGTCCTGACAAGATGATGCTTGTTCTGGGGGGCCTAAGTACACAAATCATCTCCTTTGATGCATTATGTGGTAAAATGGTTGACATGGGCTCTCAGCATTCTAATACTCATTCATTCCTCCAAAACTTGTGGCCAAGTGTGGGTGGGGGGCAAATTAATTAGACATTTGAGCAGGTTATTTTCTGGTTCCATATTAGTAGTTTTACTTACTGGGTAAAATAGTATGATAATCCACAGAAACTCATAAAGTGTTGGATATTCTTCAGAAAGGACCAAATCATTGGTACAGTTTATTTAGAAATGAAAATTTCAAGAACCAATGGAGTTTAAAACTGCACTTAAATCACTATGAGATACACATTGTGGTCTGCATATTGTTTGTAAAACCAGAATATTTCCATAATTTCATAGTAGTCTGCGATGGCTATTGTCTTGTTAGCTGTAATGATCTCACTCCTTGGTATCCATGAAAATGATTGTTATTCAACAGTTACACAAACTTAGTGACATTTCTAGAAAATTGTCACTTTGTGCTCATAAAGCATAGTACTTAAGTCATTGGATTAAAGCATAAGCCTTGTATTAACTACTTCTGATGAGATACAGATCTGTAAAAGTCAGAGAGTGGGCACTTATGGCTCGAATGAAAACACAGTCAATTGTTAAGAAAAGCTGCAACATTTCTGCCTACAACGGTGTGAAAGGCAATAATTGAGAAGTGTACATTGACTACTTTTGTTCATTAAGACCTCTTGACTATCTTATTTCATTTTTATACATATATATTATGGTATTGAAGAGTGGAAAAGTCAGTCTAAGTACAAGAGAGCTCCCATAATAAGCATGACAAAAATTCTTTTTAAAAAGGATCTATTTTTATTTAACTGTATGTGTTTATGTGTGTGTCATATGTGTGTAGGTGATCAAAGAGGCCGGAAAAGGGAGTGTAGTTTATAGGCAGTTGTGAGCCAATTATTGTGGGTGCTGGGAACTGAACTCAGAGTCTCTGGAAGAGAAGGAAGTGTTGTTAACCACTGCACAATCTCTACAGGCTCCTGAAATAAAATTTCCAAACAAAGAAGTTTGACAAATTTTCCTTTCTTTAGCAATGCTCTTTCTTCTCATCAACTATGACTTTAGCCAAATCATATTTATACTTTTCCTTAGCTTTTTACAAGTTATTAACAATTCATATTCTATCTAAAATAAAAACCCAAATACTCTAGTTTTGATGAAGAAATCTAATCTTTATTTCTATGATGTTAGCACAATATACTCACACAATAGCTTTGATCTGTACTTAACAAAATACATTTATAGCACTTTACAAACTTTATCAGTTTGGAAAACATTGCATAACATTTTATTAAACACAATACTTCATATATATTATATATTCATAATTTTATTTACTTTAAAAAGATAAGTAACTCTCTTTATTCAATACTTGATTTTATCAATAAAGCACAGCATAACAAAAGAAGAAGTGCTCTCATTAGCAAATAAGATAAATAGAACACTAAGGAGAAATAACACCTGCTAGTCTGATTTGTTTTAAATTAAGGTACCAGTGGAATGTAAACAAATTTTTTGTAATTATTTATTTTTTATAAAAGATGCGTTATCAAATATACATGCAGAGGTCTGAATTCTAGTGTCTATCATATTTACTTAACAATGTGGTACAATTTGTTAAGTCATTAAAAACTGTAGCCTTTGGCACTTTGAGTAGAAAAAGAATATATCAATAGTATGTAAAGAACAAAAATTCAATGACTAGAGAAGTACTTTAAAATCTTTTTGTTAAGAAATAGGAAAGATTAGGAAATATCATACTGCACCTCAAATACTGCAGCTTGGTTTTTCTTCAGAGTACTAAAACCAGTCCACCCTTCCCTCTAGGAACTGGCCAGGCCAGCGGGGACATGGTGACGGTGGTGATGTAAGAAGTGGGGAAGGCAACATTTTACTCCCTCTTCCTTCTCTGAGAAGGGAATTGCCAGAAAGGTTACTGTTGAGTCTGTATTTTATTGCCAGAGTTTTCAATTCTGCTGGTTTAAGCTGATTTCCTGACACTTAGGCCCTTGCATGTGGAAGTTACTGATGGGATGAATGATCCTTCCTTGCTGGACAGCTGTTGTTCTCATTGAAGACTGCACTGAGTTCAGATCAACCAGCTCTGCTGTTTCTTTTTTATCCCCCTCTTGGCAATCATCAAGTGTACCCTATAATCCTTAAGATATGGCATAAATATGTTTAATACCAGATTCAAGGAACCAAATATTTCTCCATACTTTAAATATCTAACTTGGAAAATTACTTTGCAATATTTTGTTGGTATTCTTCTCACTACCAGTCATATGGTTTCCTTTGATTTAGGCTCAAGGCTTTTAATTTAATAGGCAGCCAAAACTTCCAATTGCACTCTAAGCACAAAAGCTGTGTCTAGTCTGATATTTTGAATATACACACTTTTAATTTATAATGTGAGACAATTTTATCAATGACATTTGCCTAGATTCTTACTCTTAGTGTCTCGTTCCAAATATGTCAGGGAAGAGAGTCAAGCTCACCCCACTGTGGCTTCAGTTTACTATAAAGATAATGCAAAAATGAAATGCACTGGAACAAAATGAAATTTTGTGATTACTTACTGACATCATAACCTATGTCATCAGGTTGGAGATATTTTGAACTTGACAGAAATGTCTGGCAATGGAACCCACAATCTCAACTTTTGGCTCAGATTTCTTGTTTATGACTTCACAGCAGTGTAGTTTGCACAAGGAATGTAAATAGCCATTTTTATTTTTTAAATAAAAGAATATATGTATAACCTCAAAACACTTAATAAACTAAGGAGTAGCCATAAAATGGAAAATATAATCACAGTAATTTCAAAATATTCTCTAAAACAATGTTTGAAGTATGCAAATGTATTCACTAAAAATACCAGAAATCAGTATTATCAATACTTAAAGAAAAAGCAGAAAAATGGTGCAGATAACTAGTTATTTCCTTTCACTGAAAACATTCCTACAGAGTTTCAGATGTTTAAAAAATGCATTTTTCAAAGAAATGCTCAGAACCTTTTTCAAAACATTTTTTTTTCAATGTGAGAGAGCCACTACAGGGAAGCCGAGGATGGCCTATTCTACCACATCTTCTGAATAAAGGAGCATTTCTCTGACGAGGGGTTGCACACCACTATTTCACAGCTAAGTAGAGTTTGAGAGTCTACAAGGTATATGCACTACAATAATCAGCACCTCCCAGACTGCGCTTCTGGTGCAGATTCAGCAACAATGAATAATATATAATACTGCATGGCCTCTGCTGTAGGGAAAGCCTGTGTGTTTGGGGTTCCCACAGCTAATTTAATGAAAAAAGAAATCAAAGTTGGCACATTCTGAAAGTTAAATACTATACATTGAAGGAAGCCACTTTGCCTTAATACTGCCCTCTGTGAAACCTCAGTGACAGGATTTTAAGAACTTTCAGGTGATGAAACTAATCCGGATCTTGCTTTGTGCTTTTCCCTTGGTGTAAAATTGCCACGATTTCTGTGTTAGTTCAGTGGGAGTTCCGGACTGATGGTGAACAATCTTGTTGGGCAAGAAGGCTTTCCCAAATCCTCCTAAACAAAACAAAACAAAACAAAAACAAACAAACCCCCGAACTAAAAAAAAAAAAAAAAAAGAAAAAAGCACAGGTAGAATAAACGTGTGATCTTGAGGGTGGTGGTGGTCACCCATATGATGGCAGAAGGGCCATCGCTCAATCCTTATAAGCCCGCGTTGGGGAGGTTCCTTTGTAGAAGATGTTTCTGGTGTTTTCAGGGCTGTTGCTTCTTTCAGGGATCAAGATAATGTTGCCCTTCCTGCGCAGGGTGGAATCACGTGAGGAGGACACAGACAACGTCTCTGAGCCTATCTCGCTGCCCTCCACGGGGGTCACTCGAATGGTGGTGATGCCGTGGTGGTGGTGCTCGTTGCTGTCGATGTTGCTTCTCTTGCGATCTCCAGAACCAAAGCTGTCTTTGAGGGACTCACAGCTTTCCGAGTCCCTGTTGAGGTCGTTGAGCTCATAGGTTTGGCGCAGGCTACCCTTCTCTGGAGCTTTCCACTTCCAGGAGCCACTGCCTTCACCCTCGGTGGATGGGATCTGGATGATGGGCCTGTTGTTCTCGGGGTGGGCCTCCACCCGCACGATGCTGCCTGGCTCGTGGTCCGTCAGGGTTTTGTAGCGGATGGAGCCTGTGCAGGTGACCGTGCTACCCTCGGCATTCTTGGGGCTGCTCTGCAACACGCCCTGTTGTTTGGACATGGCGATGACCTGCATGATGCGTGGCTGGCTATTGCTCCGGTTACAGGCCACCGTCTTCTCTGCAGCTTTCAGCCACTTGGCCCTTGCAGAGCTACTCTTGGGAGAGGTGCTTATGTTTTCCTGGGTCTCCTCAGGGATGTGCACCAGTTGGGAGGAGCCAGGGCGGGACTGAATGGACACACGTGGCCCTCCAGGCATGCTATTGTTGCAGCCAGGGACAGTGCCAGGCTGGATCTTGAGGTACTGATTGCCTGGGACATGGTGGTCTCCATTCACTCCCACCCTCGAAGGTTCTGAGCTGGACCTCATTTCTATGGACCTGGGTGGAGACTGACCTTCGGGCTCAGTGTCCATGACCTGCAGGGACATCTTGCGACTCTCGTTCTTGCTCTTCCACTGGGTGAGGAGCTGCTTGGACCTGGCAGAGTCCATGGAGGCATGGATGCTCGCGTTTCTTCTAACGGGGTCTTCCACCGAGGGTGTGTTGGCTCTGGGCAGTGTGTTGCTGAAGGTCACCATGCTCTCCTTCCCCATGGGGCTCCGAGGAGTGATGATTTCTACGTCAGCGTTGGCCCTCTTGAGATTTGTTAAGGAGCTTGCATCCCTGTGATTTCGGTTGAGGATGCCCTCTGTGTGAGCAATTCCATCACTGCTGCTACCATTTTTAGCTGATAGAACCCTGCTGGGGTCTTGATTGAGGTCTGTCAGTGACCTGAGGGCATCTCTCTGCTGGAGCATACTGTCTTCACTAGGCAGAAAATTCCCCACAGCATACAGGCCCTGGTGTTCGAGGGAAAACAACAAACATCACACACTATAAGTCACCATTAATCACGTTTCCCTTAGAATGCCCAAGGGAGCACACAACTGAGGTAGGTACTCTGCATAAGCCCACAAACCAATAAAACAGTGAAGAAAGTGCAATTACTCCTGGGGGTAGCTTGTAACTATCTAGATCACGGAACTAATTGCTAAGAAATAGGTTTGATTCATTTCAGTCCCACCAGATGCTGTTGTCATACTCTGTGTGTTTTGAAAATAAAAGATAGACAATGAGAGAAATAAGGACATTTTTCTGCCTTCCAAAGCTATTCATTATTTATTTTTATTTTTTTTTGGACTAGTAGCTTCTTTTTGAGTGACAGCCCAAGAGGCTTGAATGATTTATGTTCCCTTTCATTTTCAATCATACCTCCTGATGGCAAGCAGAGGAGCTGCACGAAATATAGAACAAGGGATCATTCATAAAAACACTGTGTGGGGTTTGAAAAATGAGAGCAGGGACATACATTGTTGCAAGTCACACTGCCTTCAGTCTTGCCTGTCTTCTTTAAACCTGACCCCTTCAAGTGGGAAAGTCGGATTAAATTATTGCTTTATACCAAATGTGGGGCAAATTTTATTTAATTTTGTCTTCATACTTAGTCCATCAATTTTTATTTGTTTTAGATTTTGAAAAGGTTAAATTTCAGTTTCATATCTGTTACCCTGGTTACAGATCTAATGCCTGCTGGATTTCCAGAGATCCTGAGTCTGTCTGTGAGCTAATTTCAATTGAAGGTGGCTGGGTCTACTTGTTAAGTCTAGGTAATGCAATTTCATGGTTTAAGTCTTTTATAGAATGCTTGACACTGAGGAGAAGCATGTGCTCAGGAATGACAATGTTCCAATTTCAGGGCACAAGGTGCAACTGGAATCAAATCAAATCTCTTTCCCTCTCTCCCTCCCTCCTTCCCCCCTCCCACTGCCTCTCCCTCACACCTTAAATAACTACAATGATACTTCTGTAAGTAATGCCCCTGGCTTCCAAAGTACTCGTGCCTCTTCTTTCCTTCAGACACAACTACTCAAATGCCCATTAATTCATCATGAACTCCTCAAATGCCTTTCTAACCAGCAATCTGTTAGCTTGATTATTTACCTGGTCTACTAATGTGGTCACGATAAGTCCAGTCTTCCAAGTTATAAATTTGGTCATCATTTTTTATTCCAACACTTCCCCTTCTGTCCAATTGATATTCCAGATGTCTATCTCTTTGTTTGATAATCCCTTCCTCTTGAATGAGCTTTCTACTTTCTTTACCTTAAAATATTTCTAAACCATATCATATCTAGAAAGGCTTCCTGATGTTCCCTTGGCAATTTCCTATTCTCAAGGAACCACATTCTATTACCAAGCATGTTGTGACCATCTATGCTGGTGTTTGTCTTTACACTACGAGTGGGTGAAGGATTGTTTTCCTTTGCTTTATAGTGGATAACAATGAGTAGATATTGAATAATTAAGATGAATGATGAAAGGATGGATGCATGACTGAGTTCAATAGGCACTATGAGCTTCCTTATCATGCAGATACTCATCCTGAAGATATTTAACATGATTGAGAGTTTAAAAATGGTTAAAAATTCACTGTTAGTTGGAACATAGTTACATTCAGGAAAGTGCTACATTTGTGTTGTGAAAATTATAGCAACTTTCACTAAACCTTCACTATTCCTTTTACTTGCATTCACTTTCCTTATGTTCGAAATTTCAGTAAACATGGTATTTCTTTCTGTGTGCTTTCTTTAAGAATATAATATAACAATTGACAATTAACCGTGGCTCATAAGAAGAACTCATTAAATCATTTTATTGGAAGTAGAGTATAATTTGGATTAGAGTGAAGATGCAAGCTAAGATTTTCTCATGAATATAAAATACACCATGAGTAACTTATTATTGCACAAAATATTCTATGCATGCCTTTCCACATTAAGCTGCACTTCACCAAGTATTAATAATGCTATTTACCAAATACAGGGCGATTCCTCCTCCTATTAAAAAGCCACAATAGACGTCGACTGGGTGGTTCTTATACTGAGTTATCCGTGTCAGCCCGCAGATGATTCCACAGATAATAAATGTGAAGACCAAGAGTGGTTTCAGGAGCTTGGATGAGTCAGTTAACGTGGAATTGAAGTACATCTTTAAAATAAAAGATGTGAGTTAAGTGTGCTTGGAAGGCCACTGTGTTTGAAAAGTCTAAGCAAGTGAGAAGCTCAACTCAAAAGCCTGGCTGATACACTTGACATACTTCCACCCATTCCCCTTGCCATGGCTAAGTTCTCAACATGCTAAGGATGGAAATGCATGGCAACATTCATAAAATAAACAGCAAAGCTCTTATTTAATCACAGGAAAGTTTGAAAAACAATGAAGGAATAGATTTAGCCTATATACCACACAATTTCAGTATGTTTGTCTCACAAAAGACTATTCAGGTGGTGTTGTCAATCAAACACAAGAACTCTTCATTGTGTAACACTTGTCAAATTGACAGCGACCTAGAACTCACTATGGTTACATAATTACTGAAAGCTGTGTCCCTGTCTCTGTTTTTGTACACTTACCTAATAAAAGCCCTTTGGTTTTGGTTTTTGTCACATTCATGCATCTCATAAATATCTTCCCACAAAGTATTGCATGAAAATGATCCAAGGTTAAGCAAGTATTATGACTCACTGGAAAAATTCTTTGATTCTACTTTTTTTTTAAAAGTAGCATCTGATAATTGCTTTAGATGCTATTGTATTAAAGAGAAGCAGAACTAAGTTATAATCTCATTAGTCATCTGGGGAAAACACTTATTCCTTGGCTTTTCTACGGGTCATAATTTAGCAAGGAGACCATTACTTACCGACACATATACGGCAGCAAAGGCAGCAAGGGTCGCGTGTTGGGACGGGAATGACTTTCTGTCAAAGGAAGACAACCAAATTATGCACTTTAGTTTAAATGGGCTGCCAGCCATCATCTAAAGAAGGCTGGGCAAGATGTTCAACTTAAGGCCACAAAGCAAGAAACCATAACCTTAATTTACATTTAGTTTACAGAGAAAGCCAGAGTGATTTACTACCCTCAGGAGCACTGCTGGTCTCCATGAATATTAGCAGGAATGTACTTTTTAGTAAAAATTAAAATGAAAGGAACTAGAAAATAAGTATGAGGTTGGCAAAGGGACGTGTGAGATGATGTCTGAAATGAGTTGGAAAACAACTATGTTTTGGTTACAATTATATCAATTCCTTGTTAAAGTTCATAAAATGTAGGGCTTTTGTGTGTGTGTGTGTGTGTGCGTGTGCGTGTGCGTGTGCGTGTGCGTGTGCGTGTGTGTGTGTGTCATTACATTAAGTAATAAAATTATTTTCCTATACCAGGAGATCTTAATGTACTTTTAAATTCTAAGCTGTATGGAAAAGTCCTATTTTAACAAACTTTCTCTGCTTAGCCCAATTAAATGTGACTATCACTTCTTAAACAACACAACATTTTCTTAAGTTAAACAACTTAGGGAACAAGTTTCACTTGGAACACTGGTCAGTGGAACACACACAGAAAAGGGCACACAGAAAAAGGATTAGAAATTTCTTTCAATGGAATAAAAGCAAGGAAAAAAAGTCAGTTATACTATTGGTTTTCAAATTATTTAACACTTGCTATTCAACACAGGCAAGAAAATGTGGAAGTTTTGAGAAAAGAATACAGGGCATAGTTCTTCAACATAGATGCAAAATTACTGAGTGGTCCATGGGAATTTGCTTTGTTGAAAAATCATCAATAATAAATCCAATTTTCATAATAATTATTTAGTGTTTTGCATCTCTCTAATTTTTTGAGCATCTCAGAAACTTTCTCTTGTCTTATGTTTATTTTACTTTGCTGACTGAAAACGACTTAATATATTAGTAGTTTCTTGTGTTTTCATGTCCTTAACTTTCTGAAATGTAAAGTCAGGAGCTGTTTAACATTTCTGTGTTCATTCAAATAAAAAAGATTCAACCACAACAAATGTTATACCTTTGCAAACTTGAGCAAAAGCAAAATTTACATAAGAGATGTAACACAGACTTTTGTATTTGACTTAAATGAGTACAATATACATATTGTCTGACTGCTATAATAAATGGATCATTAATATCCTAACCCAATTGTGATAGAATACAAAATATGGGTTCAGTAAAAGGAGACTTGCATTAAGAATGTGAAACTGAAATTTGGAGATAATAAGAGAAGTATTTTGAACAAGTCTCTATCAGATCTCTGTTTTATATCATTGAATTGATTGTTGCATTGAAAATATGAGTAAAATACAGATGACTGTGACTGAACATGGCATGTTTGGATGGTGCAATGATGCTGGACACAGGCATTGACATGGATTAGTTATAGAGTTCTGTTTTCAACCTGCCGCTGTTGATAACTGTGAGGTCAGATCCTGAACAAATATCTTCCACGATGTAGGAATTTTCTTTGCAGGATACATTCAGAGAGGTGTAGTTTGGCTTGCACACAGTCAGAAAGTATGGTGCCTGATATCCTGTGGATAGCTGTATGATATCTGTAATGAGAGCTGTGGAGCATAGCCCAAACACATGGACACCTAGAAGCAAAATGGAAAACACTGTTACAAAGTTGATGGCTAACGGTTGAGTGTACAATAGTGTCAAGCATGTTTATTGCACACTAATATGTTGAACTTATAATGTGCTGTCGTTTTCTCTAAGAGCATTTGAGAGGCAATATGGGAGTTTTCTAAACATCTAAGTTGTTATTTAGGGGCAAAATAGTACAATGAGAATTTCCTGATTAGTAATATACTATAGTCACTCTTGTTAATTAGGTAAAATCTTTTATATATAAATATTTACTTTCAATTAAATGCTTCTGTGTGTAGGGCTGCACATCTGTTAGTACAGGTGCCTGCAGAGTACAGAAGAGAGTGTTGGAGTTACAGAGATGGAGTTATAGGCAGTGGTGAGTGGCCAGATGTGGGTGCTAGAAACTGAACTTAGGTCCTCTGCAAGAGCAGTGTGTATTCTTAACTTATGTGTCATACCTGCAGTGTCTAAAGTCAGTTCTTTACATGATTTACCATGGGTCAGTTGCCATCTATTTGGGGAAAGTTGATGAATGATTAGGAGGGGACAGAATATGAGAAATGTGACAGAATTAAAAATGGTCTATGTTAAAATATATGTTCAATATATTATTTGTTTTGTGATCATCTGAATTTACTCAGGGCTATCTGTGTGATCATGGATTTGAATGTGTTCATTGGAACCTGGTGGACTTGCAGCTAAGACAAAGACTGCACTCCCTCTAATCCATCGGCAGCTAAATAGTTCAGTAGTGTGGAAAACAGCTTTTAGGGAAGAGGAGGAGTTGACAGGGATGGGAAGGAGATAAAAGTGAATCAGGTGGTGAAAGTAGTCACTATGCCTTAAATGTATGCATAAAATCATCAAAGAACAATTTTAATAAAGTTACTTAAATTTGTAATAAATTGTACACAACAAAAATTTAAAAATAAGAATTTAAAAGTTCTGAGCATTTCTGAGTTGTTAGGACTCTTTTCTCACCTTGGTCTCTAATTCTAGGTGCAATTGTTAAACCCTACAGAATCCATTCTCATTCTTCATAAAGCACAGGGCTGATAAAAATGCTAACAGCAGTTACAGCCTGGGTAGCTGTGGGAGCTGCCTCATTTGGTGATGATGTTCTTATATTTCCTGCCAAATATTCAATTTTATATTCTTAAATTATGAATCCTCAGATTCTATGCTTGTTTGAAGACACTTGCTTGGCTCATCTTGTGAGCAGTTCCTTCTAAGATATAGGTGATTTAGAACTTGTCAGAGTACTTCCCAGGCTGTCTTGACTCCCTGCATTCATTCTGACTCCATTGTTTGAATACTAACTCATGAGACACCCACAAAAATCATTCTGAGAGGCATTCCTTCACTACCTCCAGTCCAAGAGGGCTGCATTGCACTAATTTTCAGTTTTCTTCTCTAGTGGTTGTCCTCTAATCCTTACAGCATCATCAGTTCCTCTTCCAATTACACTAGAGATTCATTTCAAGAGAAGCTTCTCTGCATTCCAGTTCCTAGATGCACACATAGGGTCTATTCTTTTTTAACATCTTTATGTGTAGGTTTGTGAGTATGCATATTAGTGTGACAATATCATAGGGAACAGCGGGGAGGTGTCAGATCCCTCAGAACTGGAGTTTCAGTCAGTTGTAAACTGCCTAAGGTGGGTTCTGTCTGGGAGCCAAACTCCAGTCCTTTGGAAGAGCAGCACTCTATTGAGACACCTCTCCAGCTCCCTTAGGATTCATTATTAACATGATGTAGATAGATCACAGTGTGTTGGAAACAAAGAGCAGGTAGTGTGATCTGAGATTTGTGTGGTCCAGGTAAAGATTGAATCAGAAGGGAGTCAACTTATTTTACCTTCAGAAAATGAAAATGATACTCTGTTGGCCCAGGGAAGATGAGGCTGTTGACAGCATTTCAGAGTTTACGCTTCTTCTTTGTCCATAGCATTCTATTCTATTATGGCAACATTTCTTTGAGTTCAGCTTTATTTCTTGGGGTTCTATTTCCTTGCCTCAAATGTTGTTAATGGGGCAACTGTTTTATTATAACTGTATCAATATAATGGTAAGAAGATATCTTCAGCTGGAAGGTGGTGGCACTTGGGAGGCTGAGGCAGGCATATCTCTGTGAGTTCGAGGCCATCCTGATCTACAGAGTGAGTTCCAGGACAGGCTTCAAAGCTACACAGAGAAACCCTGTCTTGAAAAGCAAAGCAAAACAATGAAGAAATCGTCAAAGAGCATGATTCAAAGGGGATGATTCAGAGCCAGTCAAGGGAGAGAAAATTTCATGTGATTATTTATGAGGTACTATCATAAGCTACCAATTCCTTTATGCTGACATGCTATACACATAAATAACATTATATTGACTTACTGGGATGAATATAAAACACTCAGGTTGCTGTCTGGTACTGTAGATGACCATTTAAATCAGTGACAAAAAGTAAAAAAGGTGTCTGTGACTCACACTACATTAAGCTAGTCCCATGCTAATTTGATTTAGGATTTAGTATGATTCGGATATTTGCTTTGTCAGACCTGTAGTTTTCTTATAGATTCATTAAAAAATGTAAAGTGAGTGTTGGGGATAAGAAATAATAACCAGCATGCAGCAGTCTAGGGTGACATTTCCATGTACAGTGATTTCTGGATGAACCCACTAAGAAACAGACTCACTTATGTGAATAAATTAATTTCTGAAGCATTTTCAATTAATAATAGCTTGTTGACATTTATTTTCCATTTAAAAAAACAAAAGAAAACAAAATGGAGTATGGTGCCACTCACCTGTTATCCTAGCACTTTGGAGGTAGAAGCAGGGGGCTTGGGAATTCAAGGCCAACCTCAGCAACATAGTTAGTTTGAGGCCAACCAGGACTACATGGAACTTGCCCTTACTCTTTCCTTCTCCCCCAGGAAAAAATAAAAACCTAAAACATACACTTTGTGTAACTACTTTAAAGTAAATTTATGCTTCAACTGGAGTTTGGCATAATGCCCTGAAATGTGTGGTGTGCTAGCTCACAAAACCAAGGCCATGACTCTAAATAACACATTTTCGACAGAGATCCTAGATTCTGTTTTTTAAAAAAACGGCTTCCTGTATAACGTAAAACTCATCACACACTGAACATATACATCTAAATTACAGCTTTAAGGGTTTAATATCTGTAATTAGACATTGTATTTCTGTGCAGAAAAGCATTTCCTTTCTTTTTGGCTCCTTACACCCACCAACAAATCTGACGGCTCTTCTGAGAAAGGAGTTGAAGTTGCAGCCCCCAGCATTGATGTTGGGTTCCAGTCCAGCTCCATTTCTTCTTTTGGAAAGGCAGCAGTATAGAATCCCTTCTCCCACCATGATCTGCAAAGGTCACATGGTGTCAGCAAGAGTGTCACTATACCTACACCTAACAAGTATAAACTATGCGCCATCCTTTCACACATTGCCAATTCAACAAAGAGAAGATGAATTTTTCTCAGCACTTCAGAAATGTAAGCAATTTATTCTGAGAATTAAATAAGCAGTGAGAAATAAGCAATGTGGCATCGTGAAGAAGTCTGGCTGTATCTTGTTTATTCCTGTGCATTGGTCAAAGGTGTGAGAATATCTCAGAATTTCAATTTGATTACAACAATCAGCCGTTGGCATTTTGAGCATGGCACCCAGTGATTCTGTTCTAACTTTGAGAATCTTGACATCAATCCTAGATACCTTAGAAGAATCAAGTAAGTATAGCATTAGGATCAGGAACATTTAACAAACAAATTTGCTTAACAAAACAATTGTTAATTTAGCAGAAGGAAAAATGTGGGGAAAGCATGTTTAGGTAGTACTATTGAATGTAGCCATTCCACAGATATTTCTGTAGGGATGGAACTATATCTTCTGTTAGTTAATATAGTAAGGGCCACTCATATGTAGCTGCTAAGTACTCAAAAATGTAGGCACTGCAAATGATTTGAGTATTTAATGTTAATTGTGCTATATTAAAGATTTTTAACTTAATTTAGACTTTAAAAAGCCCCATAATGGATGGCTATCTATTGGAGAATGCAGATGACAAGAGATTCTAGAAAAGCTGGTAGCCTTTCTGAGGGATAGTCTTTCAGAGTGCATGTTCACAGTAGATGAAGAACCACACTGAAGTAAAGGAGTATTTTAAGCTATAAATAATGGATTTTGCTGTGGGACTTTAAGAAGTACAACATTAGCAAAGGAATTCCATATTATTTAGGTGTGCTTTCATTCAAGAACTTTTTTTTCTTTTTAATTTTCTTACCCTAACATGAATTTCATCACCCTCTATAATGCTTCCTTGGTACTGTGTCTTTTCCTTTGAGTAGCTCTTTGAATTGCATAATACACATTCACTTTACAGTCTCTCCTTTGATTAGGAACTCCCAAGAGAAGAATCACTTCTTAGTCATTCTCATTTTTACATGGGATTTGTGTTGATGATTTTTACTTTGCTAACTACTGGAGAAATCTGAGTTGCTGCTTATTATATATAATACATGCAAGATTTGAATTTACGACTTTTATTTATCAAAAAGATTTCAAATATTTGAGAGTATTATCCCTAATAAATTTGTGTCATATTAGGTAGTGGTTTCATAAATGTGTGGAGTTGAGGGTTTCAAGAGATTAATAGTCCCTCAGATATAGCAGATCATATCACTGTAATGATTATGAATATACTCAGGATTGAACAATGGTTAACGTTAGATGTTTCTGGGTGAGCGTCTAAGCTCTCATTAAAATCTTTTATTTGTTTTATAAAATGCTTAAAATTATAACTCTCAGCTATATTTAGCTATACATGTGATGTTGTATGCATATAATTGTAATGACTCAATTTGTACACAAGTTTTTCATATAGTGTTCTTCAATGAACTCTGAAGATAAGGCAAACAAATATCACATTGATAACTCTTTTACAGTTACTCAGTACAGAAATAGTAGAGAGGAATTTATCTCATTTTTCAATGCTGAATGAACTATTTATGCTTTTTGACTAATGTTTTCAGACAGTGTTACTTCAAATTAGACCTGGAAATACCCCAGGCTCTCTATTCTGTGTAGCCCCTCCCCTCACACCAGGGGGCTCTAAAAACCTAGCCCAAACAAGTTAGAGCTTCTTTTCTTCCCCAGAAGATCCAAATTTTGTAATAAGTTTATTCAGCTACAAAGATGAGAAGAAAATCAGTATCTTTGATGGTCAAAGATGAGAGTCTGTTAATTTTCACTCTTAGGATATGGGAAGGATGTAGGAGTTAGGGAAGTAATTTTTGTAGTGAGGTTACAATGACTCTACATGCCATGGAATCAATGTTGAAAAGAGCTCTTATTTATGTGAAAGGCCTGAAAATTAGAAAGAACAACGTAATCAGAACAAATCCAGTAGAATTCTATATATGTGGAGAGAGAGAGGTGTCAGATACTATCATATGTCAACAATTACACAGTTCATCTCAATACTGAGTTATTTACTCAAGGCCTATGAAACCGCTGTGGAAGGAAAGAAGTCACTGATGCCTTGGAAGTCTCCGTTTACTCATCTCTTATGAAACCGCTGTGGAAGGAAAGAAGTCACTGATGCCTTGGAAGTCTCCAAGGGATGGTGGTCCATCCTCAAACACAAATAGTTCCTGATTTGCTTCTCTTTACATTAAGAGGCACATGGCAGGATGGAGGCCCTACAGACATGCCCCCATGGAAGGAGGTGGCCCTGGGCTCCTCTTGTCTGCTCTGTGGAAGGACAAGGTGGTATATCTCCACTGATTTCTTAGGTCTTCAAGCACCAATGTCCTAGGAAGCATCCCTAACTTGTATATTGAGACTTTGTGATGTGTCCCAAGGGATTCAAAAGAAATAAGAATTCTACGATGAGGGCAAGTTCATTGTTCCCAACATATGAAACAATGTCAGGAGAGGAAGCATCATATGATAATTGTTCCTGATAGGGTACATTGAAATCAGATATTTTGCAAGTGACTGGGTGTTTATTCACTCGTAGCTTAGTGAATAAACACTTTTGTGACTATAAAATGTGAATTATTCAAATTATTGCATATAAAGAGTCTTTTTGCCAGAGTCATACCTAATAGCCAAGTAATACTTTATGCATTTTATTACAGACACATTGATTAAATCCATGTACTGTACTCTGACTAAGAAATGTTTTCTGATATGATAGGTTTAAAGCAAATATACTTTTTCTGCTATCGCCAAATGACTAAGCAAAATGGCAGGAATCTGTTACTATTTGAAGAAATGTAATATATTAAAAAGCTCTCTCTACTTCCAAGTACATCATAAATACTTCTAATTGGATACTGAATTCATTGGAACTCAAATACCATTAATTCACAAAGTGACTAAATCAGACTTCAATTATTTTATCCAAATAGTTTATTAAATGTATTTATAATATAAATAGCATGTTATTATTTACTTAGGGGTGGTACTTTGAATACAGAGTCGTGGTTACTCAAGTAAAGAGTTTAGAAAGTCTACAAAGAAGCCTTTTAAAAATTGCTGATGTACCAAAACTAAAAAGGTCAGTGCATCAGAGAGTCTTATGAAAGACCCATTTAAGTGTCCTTTTAATTTAATAACACTTGTTCACCATTCATGAGTGTAATTAAAGAGCTAGAGATGAGCAAAGGCTCCTCTGGCATAAGAAAACAATGCCACCCTGGAAACATGGTTCTTGACCTGTAGGCTAGTAATGTGGGAGCAGAAGAAACGGCAGCAGGGTTTGCTCACCTTATTTATTAAAGATTTACTTAAAACATGCTATTTGTGATGTGTAGCAACACACTAAAACAACTGTTTAGAAACTAAATACCAAGGAAATAAAACTGCCAATTGTGGTGATTCTTGCTTGTATAAATAAAGCCTTCTTTATGTCAGAGTGTTATAATAAAGTGTGTGGGGATCCTTGCTGGATTCCATGGCAGGTATGGGTGACCAAGATGGGGAACAGACATTCCAGGACATCAGAGCTTAGTGAGAAGTTTTATTAGAAAGCATGGGAGGGGGAAGGAAAGATAAAAGTGGTAAAGAGGCACAGAGACAGAGAAACTACAGAAGAGAAGAGGGAGACAAGAAAAGTCCTGTCTGCCTCAGGGGAATAGCAGGAAACTGGGCAAGAGAACAGAAGTGGGTGGAACCTTTCTTTTAAAGATCCAGGGTAAATACACCTGCCATGCACAGGTGGATGAGAGGTGTGGCCAGGTTTGCCTGGATCACAACACAGAGAATGGAGCTTGCCACTATCTAGGCCTGGCATATCTAGCTAACCATAGTCAATGAACAAGTAGGCAAATGAACTGATTAGATAATTTTCAAAAAGAGAAACATAGGTGGTTAACAACTATTTTTAAAGTGCTCAGTATTCCCAGCTATCAGAAATATGAAAATTAAAATTACCTTAAAATACTATTTTTCCTTAGTCAGAGTGGCTATCAGCAATAAATGTGACAAGAAATATTTATTAGAGAAGATGTGGAGAGAGGGAAGCCTTATTTGCTGTTGGTGGAGGCAAAAAAAAAATACAGCCATTGTGGAAGTCATTTGGCGATTTCTCATAATAAAAATTAGAACCACAATATGACTCTAATGTTTATTTCTGGGCATATATCCAGAGAAATCCATACCATACCCTAGAGATACTTGTACACTAGTATTTATTGCTGCTTTTTCACTATAATGAAAAATCAGAATCAGCTTAGTCGTCCATCAACAGGTGAATGGATATTGAAAAGTTATATGTACATAAAATGGAATATTATTCAGCTCTAAAGAAACATACATTCACAAAGTTTGTAGGTAAATAAATGAACTTAGAATTACAACATTAAGCAATGTCACACATTCTGAGAAAGTAAAACCACACGCTTTCCCTCACATGAAGAATCTAGTTAGTAACACCTGCGCATAAGTAAACAAATGTGCTTTTGGTACAGTATGTCATGCAGTAAAGAGAGCAAAGAAAGTTAAATACCAGGGGGTGAGGACTGACTGAATGCAGACAATGAAAATGCATTCATTATGAAAGAGGATATAACGATTGTTGTTTCGTTCTAACTAGAAAACAGAGTATTTCTGGGTTATGAAAACAAACAACAACAACAAAACAAGAAGAAACTCACTGAGCTGTATAGTCTTTAGTGTGTATAATTTTAGCATGAGATTTTCTTTTTGCAACATTTTTATAGTAAAGTTTAAAACTAAAAACAACTATGTTTTAATTCACTTCTGGTAGATTGGGGCATTTTTTAATGTACATGTTTTTAAAATGCACATTCCTGTTGTGAATCTGAAGGATCTCATTCTGTATGTCTATCTATCTATCCATGCGCAGACATGTGTGTGTGTGTGTGTGTGTGTGTGTGTGTGTGTGTGTGTGTGTGTGTAGCAAGTATGCATGTATGACCAGAAGGTGAGTTTGAGCTCTTTACAGTTGGTATGCTTATATCAGCATAAAGTACTAATTTAGTAAAACTGAACCTATAAATGTTATTAAAATAATTTTTGAGGAGGGAATCTGATGGGTATATAATTGTTTATTTTCAACTTTCTGGAATTCGAATAGTAAACCAACACATGAGAACTAGATCAATTAAAAGTATACCAGCAATATAATAGTTTACATTAAGAAGAATTGTCTAATTAGAAAATCTTTTCTCATAATGATATATAAAATTAAACATCATTTTGGAAATTGTGTAAATTTTTTAAAACTTTAAATGCCAACATTTTTAAGCAATCAACTACATGATAATTTCAATATATGCAATATATTCCAAAGACAAGATTTTCCCAGTCCAATGGGTTAGAGTTCGTCTATCTGTCTATCTATCTATCTATCTATCTATCTATCTATCTATCTTGCTAGCTACACAAACTGGATCATCTTTTGTTCTCTGGGACTAAACAATAAAATTGGGGGTCAATTCTTACCGTAATTGCAGGTCCAGCAAAAGCCAAGCTAAGCAACATGAGGAATGGGATGGCCTCCTGGGTTGGCTCAATGTACGGCATGCTAAGACTCCGGTCATAGCAGCTGAATCCAGAGTGCACAGGTTTGAAGACATCTGTGAGTTCCAGGAAATAGAGGCTAACCACAGATGATGCCAATATTGGTAACTGAGGGTGAAAGACACAGGATACAGTCTATTTTTGTAAATAGGACAAATAGAATTGGTACATCTTGAAGATAGAAACTGGTGGAATTTTCCCCTTCTGTCATGGCCCCACTGTGGGGCAGACTAAAATGCATTCATAAAGTGCTGTGGGTTTGACATTCACAGTATGCTTCCTAGTTATCTGCCATTATCTGCCTTGCCAGGCTGCTCTCCCTTGTCATTCCCCACCTTAAGCATCCTGCTGGCTGCCATTCTCACCTGAACCAAATCCAAATGTCTAACATGAACAAAATCCAATAGCTACACCATGGAATGGAACTTTCTTCAATATTTGGCCTTTGTTTCGGAGTCTGACTCTTCTGGTGCCACAGTTCTATCACTCCTCAATTTGCTGCTAAACACGCCCAGATGGTTCTTGATATTTTCCTGTGAGAGGAATTACTCCTGCCCAATGTCCTTTGCATCTGTGGCTCCTTTTCCTTTCATGTCCTTTCCATAACTCATTTCATGAAGGATATTTATCCTCAATTAGTGGAACTGTCCTGTACCTTCTAGCCATGGTTGCCTTTGATCCATCCTCAACCTTGTCATCTAGCTTGATTTTTCTTAATAGTACTTATAAACAAAATTACTTTGACAATTAACATTATGCTAGAAAAGCTAGCAATTAACTTATTTAGTTTTCATCTGCTACAAACTACCAATGTAATAAAGACTTAAGGAAGTAAAAATCTGCCAATGTCATTTATTGTTGAGTCCCTGGAGCATAAAACTATTACATGTACATGGTAATATTCAATACATCATTTAGTATTTAGTGGCCTATAACCACTTATCAGTAAGTGATTAACTGAATAAATGTGTAAACTTTAATGTATTATGGTAAGTATATTGGAGTTACAAGATTAAGCAAATAAAATGCACACTATCCAGTGAAATAAAAATTTTAGATTGCAATTACTAATTTTTATTATAAGACTATCTCACTCAATGATTGAGAAACACATTGAAAATTATTCATTGTTTATCTGAAATTTTAATTTCATTGACCATCTGTTTGGCTACCCTTAAACCAATCACAATGTAGTTTCTAACCATAAATTTTATATAATTTGTGAATTGATTCTTTCATTCAACCTATAATTCTCCAGGTTCTCACTACAGAGGTGTTAGGTAATCATGCTTGGCCATTCAGGGGGAAAAGCCTAGGGAGTGAGATACTCCCAATTCTCTAGAACACGTGAATTCTTTGCTTAATAGCAGTCCTGCCAAAACTAACAATACATACTCATGTATCATTCAAAAATGTTTAGTTTGGCATTGAGAAGTGGCTCAGTCAGTATACTGCTTTTCTGCACAGGTAAGGATCTGAGTTTGATCCCCACTATCTGTGCAATAAACTGGGAATCGGCCTACCTCAAGATCCAGCAATTCCACTCTTAGGCATATACCCAAAGAATGCACATTCATACCATAAGGACACCTTTTTCTCCACACTCATAGCAGCATTATTTGTAATAGCCAGAACCTGGAAGCAACCTAGATGCCCCTCAATGGATGAAGAAAATGCTGTATATTTACACAATGGAGTTCTACTCAGCAAAAAAAAAAAAAAAAAAAAAAAAAAAAAAAAAAAAAAAATAAAAAAAAAAAAAAAAAAAAAAAAAAAAAAAAAAAAGAAAGAAACCTTGAAATTCTCAGGCAAATGACTGGAACTAGAAGAAACCATCCTGAGTGAGGTAACCCAGACAATGAAATTCTCAGGCAAATGGCTGGAACTAGAAGAAACCATCCTGAGTGAGGTAACCCAGACACAGAAAGACAAGCATGGTGTGTGCTCACTCATAAGTGGATTTTAGACATAGAGCAAAGGATTATCAGCCTACAAACCACAATCCACAACCCCAGAGAGGCTGGGAAACAAGGAGGAGCCTAAGAGAGACATGCCTGGACCCCCAGAGAATGGGAAAGGGACAAGATCTTCTGAGCTAATTGGGAGCATCGGGGGAGGGCAGATGGAGGTGGAAGGAAGGGGAAGGGGTGAGAGAACATGAGGGACCAGGAAGATAGAGTCAGGGGAAGAATAGAGAATGAGGGCAAGAAAAGAGATACCATAACAGAGGGGGCCATTAAATGTCTAAAGAGAAATCTGACACTAGGGAAATGTTCAGGGATCCATAAAGATGACCCCAACTAAGAACCTAAGCAATAGTGGAGAGGCTACCTTAAATGCCCTTCTCCTATAATGAGATTGATGACTACCTTAAATGCCATCATAGAGCCTTCATCCAGTAGCTGATGGAAGCTGAAGCAGAGATTCATAGTCAAGCACTGAGCCAAACTCTTGGAATCCAGTTGTAGAGAGGAAAGAGTGATGAGCAAAGGGGTCAAGACCATACTGGGGAAACCCACAGAAACAGCTGACCTGACCAAGTAGGAGCTCATGGACATCTGGGAAACCAGCATAGGACTGAACCAGGCCCCTGAATGTGGGTGTCAATTGGGAGGTCTGGGCAGTTTACGGGGCCTCTTGCAGTGGAACCAGTATTTATCTCTAGTGAATGAATGGGCTTTGGGAGCCCATTCCCTATGGAAGGATACTGTCTCTTAGCCTAGATATATGGCAGAGGGCCTAGGCCTTGCCCCAAATAAGGTGTCAGACTTTGATGACCCCTCATGGAAGGCCTTGCTCTCTCTAGGGGTGGGATGGAGGGGAGGTCAGTAACTAGCTTCTTGAGTTCTTTGTATATTTTGGAAATCAGCCCTTAGTCAGATGTGGGGTTGGTGAAGAGTTTATCCTATTCTGTGGGTTGCCATTTTGTCTTGTGACTGTGTCCTTTGCCCTACAGAAGCTTCTCAGTTTCAGGAGGTCCCATTTATTAATTGTTGATCTCAGTGTCTGTGCTACTGGTATTATGTTCACAAAGTAGTCTCCTGTACCAATTCATTCAAGGGTATTTCCCACTTTCTGTTCTAAGAGGTTCAGTGTGGCTGGATTTGTATTGAGGTCTTTGATCCTTTTGGACTTAAGTTTTGTGCATGGAGATAGATACAGATCTATCTGCAGTTTTCTACACGTCAGTATCCAGTTATGCTAGCACCATTTGTTGAAGATGCTTCCTTATCCCATTTTTAAATGCTTACGAACTTATAAGTGAGCAAAATTTTACCAATATAATTCATCTGAACATAAAGTTGGCCTTATTTAGCAGAGACATACTCCCCCATTGGATGTTTATGTCTGATTACATGTAGCCCATGCTCAACTGTGTTAGCAAAGACATAGCCAAAGAATGAAGGTATTTCCAATGTGTGTGCATGAGAAAAAGGGAAAGAATGCTTAGAAGTTTGCTGATGCAGTAGAAGCAGTGGAGTCGGGTGGCTTTCAAGTGACTAGGATGTTTTAGTACCAGTAGGTCCCTTTGTACCACAGATGACATTAGAAGTGCTCCTTTAATTTCAGTTTCCTTATCTATGAAATTAGCTATGCTGGGAGAACTCATTACCACTGGTCAGTTGACAAGAAGAAATTATAAACAAGATGATACAGTACCTGGGAGAGGGATTAGTACTTTGGTCCCCTTATTCACAACTTTTTATCTGTGACTTCAGTTACCTGTGATTTAAAAATATTAAGCAGAAAATCTATGGATAAAATTGAAAAAGCTTACAACAAATTTTATTACAAGAGGTGATAAATGTCCAGATTTATTATTAGAGTTACTCGTCTCTTCCTGTGCCTAATTCCTAAGTTAAACTTTATCCTAAGCCTCGGGTGTTCCTGGAATGGGATCTCTGCAGATAAGAGATGGCTGCTGTCTGAAGTTGTCCAATATAGTTGCATAATGTTAGCAATATACTGCTTATACTTCTTGATTCTCACCTTAATTACCAAGCACCTGTTTTTTACATGCTGGCTCTATTAATTATTAATTAATTAATTATCTGTAATGGATATTTAGAATTCGTCTGATGATTTCCCAAACTAAAATCTTCAGGCCGTGGTGTAATAATATTTTCTATATTGCCATTAGTGGTTGCTAATATAAGAACAACTTCCAAATAGATGCACACTCATTGGTACACACAAATAATAAGTTAACATATGAATTAAAATAATTTGTATTACTAGTATCTAGGTCTTTTGTCTTTCTTACATTAGCCAATTTTTGTAGCTGTGTAATAGTTATCTGTGTTCCAGTAGAAGCCTGTCTCAATACCTTACTTCTTTTCAAAATCAGGAATAATTTTCTATCCATTTGATGCCAGTGTCTCCATTTATTACTTAAAAGGTCATTTAGTTTTTTTCCTTTTCATCAACTCTTGCCTTTTACCATGCAAGTGCAGTGGATTAAATCACATTTTTTTTCTGTAATGCTTGTCATCAGAAGTGTCTTTTCATCTTTGGATGCTTAGCAACAGAAGTTGCTTTTGAATTTAAGAAAGTTAACAGATGAGATGTGCTAATTTGGGAAAACATACATAGGATTTTATATGCACATAATAGGAAAAGTTACAGATATTTTGATAGCACTTAAAATGAGATCTTGAGGATTTAAAACTCTATACAAAGACAAGTACAGATATTTTATTCTTTAATTGTGATGTAGCTAAGAAAACAGTGTGAGTCAACCTGCTTTTTGCAGTAGTACTCAGAAGGAAAATTACCTGAACAGTAGAAAAGTGGTTTTCACAAAGAACAGATTGATTCTCATAATTACTATGTGCTAAGGAACTTGTGAGTGAGAATGATAGAGCAATTTAAAAGAAAATATAGTGGTAACTTTTGAAAAACAGGACCAAGGGAAAGGAAGTTACTTTAAAAGATCACATGTGCTGTGTAATGTTGATTTTTCTTATTTCAGTTTTAAAAATCCAAATCTTTAGTTACATATCAGCGTTAGTGACATATTTATGCAATCCACCATGGCATCTGATCTAGGACAGATAACTTGATTGTTTCTAACATGCCAATATTAATGACATGGTTACTCCCCATTG